CTGCATGATTTTCCAGTCTCCCACTCCTCTGTTTTGATTTCTTTGAGACGGGCTCTTGTTATATAACATAGATTTATCTCACTCATGGCAAACCTCCTGCCTCAGCCTCCTCAGAGTCAGGGTTGCAGGTTTGCCCACCATGCTGGACTTCTGTTTTACACTTTCTTTGGTGTGTACCTTGTATCACTTTGTCAATGACACCGTGTGTTTGCCATTCACATATTGTCATACATCCCATAATAGGTTGTGTGCCCATTCTCACTGGGATGAAGGGAAGCAAACAATAGATTCCCACACAAAGTCAGGCCTGCATGTACATCGCTGGCTGGTGTTGAGTTTGCATGACTGTCAGAACTGTGGACTTCACCACACCCTAGAATTGAGTTAGCCATGAATCCTAAATTCATCCCACTTTCTCTGCCATGAGGCACTCTTCCCTTGTTCTTAACCATTTGGTCTTGGCTTAGGCCAGATTTGGCTTGGGGGCTGTAGGTTGTAGGCTCTGCCTGATGCTTTTCCAAAGTACTCTATAAGGCTCAACCCTGCTATTTACAACAGCAGCTTTGTTAACTGCTGACCGACTGTCAGCTCTGGTGTACAAGTTAAATGAATCCAACAAAGGCTCTTCCTGGCTCTGGGCTAGCTCTGGACTCTGGGCTAGACTTTGTCTTTTCTCTGAAACACGCAGGAAGCTCCCCAGTGACAATGTCTGACTTTAGGAGCAATGGGAACAATCACAACCAGTGACTGGCCATAAATTAGATTGGAAGTGAGTGAGTCCCATGAGAATGAACCCTAAGTACCCTTGAAATTTTCTCTATATGTCAGTGTAAGCATGAAGAATGTTCCAGTGTCCCACAGCTGACTTGCCCTTTGTGACACTCTCCACTGGGACACTTAAATGAAGCCATCTTCGAAATGAGGGAAGTCCCTTTCTCCTTGGCATCTCTGCCAACAGAGTAGCCCTTGGAGTCCATTTTTCCCTGGATCCAGATAGGGATATTGGGATTAACCCCTCCCTTCCCGACACAGATGATTTGTAACCAGTGAGTAGCTAAGCCCTATGGTACACTGCCAAGAAAGTCACTTCTGTAGCAAGCTCTGGGAAGAAGAAAGCTTTGCTTGAGGCCTTCTCATCGTTTTCCTGAGCAGTGAACAGAGGCTCCAAGGGTAAAAGCAAGAGCTTCTGTCTCTGTTGCTTGCAGCCTATTTTATGGATTCTGCCATATTTTCCCATTATATAAATTATGAATTATATTATATATAATATATGTGTGTATGCACACACATATTTTTGAAGACAGGATTAACACTATGTAGCCCAGGCTGCCATGAACTCTAAATTCTGCCTCAATCTCCTGGCTGCTGGGATCCCAGACCCCACTTGATTTTTATTGTGTCTTTGTTGGCATTACATTTTTAATACACCATTGTTTAGAAAAACATTTCCCTTTAGATTATCTTTTGGGGGTTAAAAAGGACTGCTGCAGGCTAATCCCAGAATGGTTGGAAGTCTGCTCCACCGACCTAACTTTTGATGTGATTTTGGTCAATATTAGTGGTCTGGAAACACACAAACACACATGCACGCACAAGCACGAACACACACACACCCCTACACACCTGGCCCTGTCTGTGGATTTGAGGTCAGTTGATTCAATCAAATACAGATTTTAAAAAAGAAAATTCAGGAAGAATGTGTTTCTGCTAAACATGTATTGACATTTCCCCTTGCCATTAGTCCCTAAACAATGAAATATAACTTTACTTAAGTAGCCTAGGGATCATTTAGAATAATATATACGATGTGATGTGCTTATGATATATGGAAATATAAAATATATAATTTTATACAAGGGACTTGAAAGTCTTTAGATTATGGTATCCCTGTGTAGGCGGGGGTCTTGGAGCCCATCCTCCACTGACACTGGGCATCCACCAAACGCTTAGCATAATAAGTAATACAAAAGTCACATAGACTATTATTTTCCTTGCCATAAGAAGCTCAGTCATAGTCGTTACAATCTCAATTTCAGCTTATGCTCAAAGATCTGCTGAAGTGGGTGCAAGCTTTTTGTTCAGCAGGAGTAATATGTTTTAGCCCCCGACTTTGTTGGATTGTTCAGTGCAAGCCTTCTGGCTACCTTTCTTCTTGGCCCCTCCTCGGGAACTCTCTGTGCAGTGTCCCTCTTGATTCTCTGCCCTCCTTCTGTGCTTGGCTCCAACATTCTTGCTGTGAGGATTTAGCCCTAAGCTTGCACGTCGCCTTGCTTTCACCCAGCAGAATTTCCCTCAAGACCCAGTAGGCTGCGCAGTGTTAGACCTGGGCATAGAAAACACGGCGCGTATAGATTACTGCAGTGCTGGACGGTCGCCTGGCTTGGCTTCATTACTTGTGCATCTCATTGGTGCAGGTGAAGAGGGGAGACAGTGACTCTCCGATGACTCAGATGCATCGAGCTCGACAGCTCCCAGCCTCTGCAGTGTCTTTCCAGCTGCCAGCAAGTCTGGGACAGGAGCGAGAAAACGATCGATCGCTCCTCACACCTACCAAAGACATGTCTGCAGAGTTCTGTGGAAACAGGAGCCTGAGTGTCCTGTGTGCATGGAGCAGCTGTTTTGGGCTGTGCTTGGAACAGAGTGAAGGGCAGGCAGGTGGTCCCAGAGCAGGGTGATGACAGGTACTTACAGCAGCAACTGAGGTCTGTATGTCAGCACAGTCTGATTTTGTGCTAGTAAGCATCCTTCTCAGGTGATGACATAGTCCCATCCTCCTGGCTGGCATCTTGGGGTGTGTGTGTGTGTAGGGGGAGTATCTTACAAGAGCATGTCTTCCAGATGGGACTTAGCTGCGTTCTAAGTGTGTGACACAGTATGGTGTGACTCCAACCAAGGAGAGCAGTCAGAACCAGGAGAGATGTGGGAAGAGTGCCAAGTCTTCCTGACCCACTAGAGGCAGGACAGCTAGGAGCCCAGGGCTTGACATTAGGCGGTGAACTCATGGCTCTGCTCTTTAATGGTATGTTCCCCCAGCAAGAAACCTAACCCTCCAAGTCTCCATTTTCTCAACTGTACCAAGGCCAGTGTGTGGGACTCTGAGAAGCCAGTGGAACGGTGAATGGGTAGCTCTAGCTCTCTCCCTGCAGTTAATGGAAGGAACATGGAGGTTTGGGAGTCCTGTAATCTGAGGAAGAGATGGCTAGAATAAGCTGAGACAGCTGGGTCCTGAGGCGCTATGACTTGGAAGATGGCTTTGCAGAAGGGCACAGTTCACAGCAATGGACAAGTCTGCATAGCTTTTCCTCAAGCCCTGCCAGGCTGCCTCCCCAGGTAGTGGTTACAGTCCTGGGGAGGGCTAAGGGAAATGGCTGTTGTTGGGAGAGAGGGTGGCCTCTCAGTCCTCTCCTTTCATCTCTGCAATGCTAGGAAATGCAGCAAAGGTCTTGGCCTTTGGCCTGATCTGAAAATCTCATAAAACCAACAATTGCATAGGATACAATTAGAAGGAGGAGGAGGAAGAAGAGGAAAAGGCCTCTGAGTGATCATTGGATACAAAGTACCAAGCTGCTTTGTTTATAGGATTCTCAGCAATTTCCCATTGCTTAGGGTGCCAGGGCTGCCAGAAGGAACCACAGACATCTCTGGCTGAGTCAACAGTAGTTTCTGGGAGTTTGGAAACTCACTAGGTCTCTCTCAGGATGGCTGCTTCTCACTGTGCTCTCATGTCCCTGTCCTGTTGCCCTCTTAGAAGGACTCCAGTCATGGGGACGAAGGTCCACCTCCCAGTGACCTCATTTAATTCCCATAATGGGGAATTTAGGGATCAAGCCCCTTTCCACTGCAGGATGCTCAGGTGCAAAGTCCTAAACTAAAATGTGAATGTCCAGGCTGGTGAGATGGCCAAGCAGGTAGCACTTGCCCTGCAAATCTTGTGAGCAGAGTTCAATCCCAGAGCCCCTGTGAAAAACAGAAGAAGAGACCTGGCTCCACAAACTTGTCCTCTGACCTCCATGTGAGTGTCAAGACACACATACCCATGTGCACACACATATAATCTTGATTTTTAAAAATTCAAGTATTTGCATAGGATGAATGTATCTATATTGCCTACAGTATCTAATACGGCGTAAATGTTGTGCACGCCATCGTGAAGAAGGTGACAGTAAAAACATCAGTGCATGTGACACTTTTTCCTTTCCAAATGTTTTTCCGTCCATGATTAACTGAATCCAGATACAGACCCCATGGTTAGGCAGGACAACTATACAGCCACATTCTGAGACGTGTGCTTTAGGGGTTAGGACGTTAGCTGAGAGTTTGGGGAAGCTGGGGAGAACTACAACGTGAGAAACTCATGACAGAGAGTTCATCCTTTGTGTCCTAGGGACTGTCACCCATAGGTGGTCTTCAGAATGTTTTTGACATACCCTTTCAACTGTTATGTCTTGCTTTCCTTCTCTTAGGTGAACGGCCCTTTCCCTGCACGTGGCCAGATTGCCTTAAAAAGTTCTCGCGCTCAGATGAGCTGACCCGCCACTACCGGACCCACACTGGTGAGAAGCAGTTCCGCTGCCCTCTGTGTGAGAAGAGATTCATGAGGAGTGACCACCTCACCAAGCATGCTCGGCGTCACACCGAGTTCCACCCCAGCATGATCAAGAGATCAAAAAAGGCTCTTGCCAGCCCCTTGTGAGGTGCTCCCCACGGCAGCCAGGCAGAGATGGTCCCCGGAAGGACAGAGCTCCCAGGAAACAGACGGACACATGGAAATCTCCCAGAGCAGAGGCGCGCTGGCCACAGGAGATCACTGCTCTTTGGTCAACATTCTGATACTCTCCCTGCACTGTTTCCAAAAAGCACATGGTAACCTAAGATCAAAGTCAACATTTTGGTCCCCTTGCAGAGGCAACTCTGAACCGTCTCTGACTGTTGGAGTGCAGGCAAATAAATGCTTTTGGTATTTTCTCCTTTGTTTTGGGGGGTGGGGGGAGGGGGCAAGGCCAAGACTCGGGGTAGGATTCTGAAGATTCAGACTGGTGTACATACGTCTGACTGGGTGAGTTGACCCCTGGCCTCCCACAGTGACTCTGGATCCTTGATGCTTGCTGACTCTCAGAATTGTTTTTCTTCTCTTTTAATGTAACGACCAGTGTGCTTCAGTTTGTTTAGCAGAACCACTCTCTCGAATCACATTTAACTTTTGAAATTTAAAAAAAAAAAAAAAAAAAAAAAACTCCATAGCACAGCTGTCTTTTATGCAAGCAAGAGCACACCTACTCCAGCATGATCTGTCATCTAAAGACTTGAAAACAAAAAAACAACAAAAAAAAGTTACTTATAGTCAATGGATAAGCAGAGTCCGAATTTACACTAATCAAGACAGACCTTCGAGGGGGTCATGATAAGTCCGGAACTTTCAAACCTTGCTTCGTATGAATCGTACTATCTGAACATAAACTGCACTTTTATTTTCTAATACCGAGGGTGAATACGGCAAATACACGCTTTGAGGGTAGAAGCCGACATTCTGTTTGGCACCACGTTATAATCTGCTTATTTTACAGTTATACACATTTCCCTGAGAACCCATGGCAGAGATGTGAAGGCAGAATGTATGGAGCACATACTGAGGAGGAGAGGAGGAGGGGAGGAGGAGGGGAGGAGGAAGGGAGGAGGAAGGGAGGAGGAGGGGAGTGCTTTAAAGATATAAAAAAAAAATGAGCAAACAATTTTAACTTCATGAATTTGTTTGAATTTCCCCATGCTTTCAGATAACGCCATCTTGTTCCACTCACGGGACTAGGACACAGCAAGAGCGTTTTTGGCTCTGTGTAGCATTAGTTGATAATTGGGTCTATAGCCATCACCAGGCCTGGAAATGCCCCCTTTTGGTGGGGGGTGTTTCTTGGTCTCCATTTTGTGTTCCTATGATATTCCCACTATAAGGTGCAAGAGTTATATCACAGGAAAGGGAGCTGAAATAGGGAAAAAAAAAAAAAGTTTGCCCCTGTAAGTAGTAAGTATCCAGGGAAGGAAGATGCCACAATGATTTCAGAGGCGACTCTGCAGTACAGTCCCTTCTGGTGAACATAGGTCAAAGAAACACATGTGACTGGCATCACATCGCCAACTGTCTGCATCGGTAACCCTACCACTACTTAGCTAGGTGTCTACACAATGGCCTGAACCACTATATCCATCTTTTGCCATTTACTGAAAAATTTAATTTTGGGCTTTTACATGGCCAGAAAAACAAACACAGTTTTCATAGTTTAAAAAAAAACAACAAAAACAAAAAAAAATGAAAACAAAAACCTCATTTGAGGGGAGTCAGCAGTGATCATGGGGAAATGTTTACATTTTTTCCTTCAGAAATACCACTTTCTGATGATTTTATCTGATATTTAAAACAGGGAGCTATGGTGCACTCTAGTTTACCCATGTGCTGCACATGGTGTGTAAACTCGGGGTTCCCACCTGCAGCGAGCTCCACATTTCACCCAGCGCATGCTCACCCCCATCTCACCGTGGGTGCTCCTGCAGTGGGCACAGGGCACAGCTGACTCCGACTTCCAATACGACAGCCATCACTAGCGCAGTGTTTTCTGTTTAACCAATGTAGTTGTATCAGTAGTTCTCTCAGAACTGCTTTTAACATTAGGGACTGGGAGCAGTCCATGAGCTAAAAAGGAAAGTGTTTTCTCACGAGAAAACATGTCAGGAAAAATAAAGAACACTTTCTACCTCTGTTTCAGATTTTGAAACGCTTATTTTAAACCAAATTTTAATTTCTGTGTCCAAAATAAGTTTTAAGGACATCTGTTCTTCCATATGAAATAGGTTAGGCTGCCTATTTCTCCCAAGCTCATGGGAAGGCTGTGCATAGGGTACTCTGAGCGCTGCCTTTTAGTGAGTGAGGAGTTTGGGGTTGCCTAGCAACTTGCTAACTTGTATAAACTCAGCTTTCCCTCACAGAAAGAAATGAAGGAAAACCAAGTCAGTGAAAGACAATCTTTATTGTTTCAGGAGTAAATCTGTATGTGGCTTTTGTCAAACACTTCAATGGATATAAACGCAGCAACTTGTTTTAAAAGATGCACAATTTACTTCCCGGATTTGTTGCTACTTGCCTTTTCAAGTTGTCGACAGACACACATTTGATATTCTCTTAGATGTTATAGTAACATAACGTATAAACTCAAGGCTTTTTATTCTTTGTGATAAGTCCTGTTTTACGATGTCAGAAAACAGGAACCAGCATTCTAATTAGATTTACTACATGGAGCTATGGTTCAAATAGGACTACTAGAGTTCATTGAACACTAAAACTATGAAACAATTACTTTTTATATTAAAAAGACCATGGATTTAACTTATAAAAATCCAAATGCAGGATAGTAATTTTTGTTTACTTTTTTAACCAAACTGAATTTTTTGAAAGACTATCGCAGGTGTTCAAAAGAGAAAGAAGCCGTTTTATCTAATACTGTAAGTAGATGTCATTCATGGAAAATATACTAGTTCTAGAGTTAAGATATCTCCTCTCCTTGGTTAGGGAAGAAGAGAGCCCTTCACCATTGTGGAATGACACCCTGGCTTTAAGCTCCACATCACGCTTCTTTTGAGAATTATATTTGGTAGTTACAATTACAGAAACCAATTAGTTTTGTCAGTTTGCAGATAGATTTAGCACAGTACTCATCACTCTGGGTAGATTAAGATGTTCTTTCACAGCGGATGAATGGTCTGTAACACTGTAAGATACTGATCTTTACAACTGTTTAATCAGTTTTATTTTTGTACAGTATTAGTGACCTAAGTTATTTTGCTGTCCCGTTTTTTGTAAATCAAATGAAATTATAAAAGAGGATTCTGACCGTAGGTATTTTGTACATATGTATATATGTTGTCCAAATAAAAATAATAAATGATAAAGATTAAATTGTTCCAGCCATTACGTTCTTCCATAGGGGCACATTTCACTCAGAGGGAAGTTGCTCTGTTAACCTGTATTCACAGAATCTCATGACAAGTGCAGAAGTGACTTAGCCCTGTGTCTTTCAGCATATGCCGTGCTTGGATAAATGTGTGTGTATTTACTCTTCACAGACCTTGGGGTACACAGAATAGAGGCCACTTAAACCCATTGTGTTGTGTTAGGGGGAATATTTACGTTTTGAGGTAACTCAATGTGCTAGGGATGAATCAGAGAATGTTAAAGGCTTGGGCTGAGCTGCTGTGATTGGTTAAGAGCACAGAAACAGGTGTTCAAAGCCAGGCAGGAGAGAAGGCATGGCACGCAAAGAAAATGTGTGTGTGTGTGTGTTTGTGTGTGCGCGCACACACACGTGCATACACACATGTGATTTGTGTAATACTAGCTGCTGTTTATTAAGTGCTTATGCGTAGTGACCATGATACTGTTTAGGTTTCCCCTTGATCCTTACAGCAGCTCTGTGTGGTTTTGTTATCCCTATGTTTTTGGTGAGGAAACTGAGGAAATAATTTGGCAAATAATTTGGCAAGAGAAATGTAGGAAGTATAGACAGTCCAGGCTGAGTTTCCTCTATCTAAAATGTTTGAGACCAGAGGCTTTTGCATTTCAGAGGTTTATTTTGGATTCTAGATTATTTGCATATGCTTAAGAATTATCTGCAGATATGTCTTATGGAGACACCCCACCCATCAAAATGTAATTCAAGTATATTTCTATTTTGCCCCGTTGGAAACTGATCTCAGGGCCTTGTCATGATAGGGTTGTGTTTTTAGCCCTCTTTAAAATTTTATTTATTGCTTTGAGACAGAGTCACTAACTTGCCCAGGCTGGCCTTGAACTTGGCCCTCCTGCCTCCCAGGCCTGGTTTACTAACTGGCTTTCTTTTTCTTTCTGTCCCTGAAAAGGAGCCTCTCCCTCCCTTTACTGTACCACCCCCACCCCATTCCTTTTCACTCAACAAAGCTTCACTATGTAGCAGAGGCTGGTTTGGAATGGGCCATGTGGCCCAGCCTGGCCTTGAACTCTCAATCCTCCTGCCTTAGCCTCTCTAATGCTAGAATTAGGCTGTCCTATCTCACTCAACTCAAAATTTGCCTTTGTTCCATACACAACTTTAAAAGATGCCCCAAAGCTGTGTGTATATGTGCTTTGACTGCAAACCATAATGAAGTCAGATGTGGCATTTTCCACTAGAGGAATCCTGTTGGCATTCAAGGTTTCAGATCCCGGAGCACTTTGGATTTAAAGGTTTGGGAGGCTCAACTGTTGTAGAGAACTGCTGAGTCACTCCCTCTTTCTTTCTGTGCCTCTGTCAGAGAGGGTAGTAATTCACCGGGCTCACTTGACTGAACACCATGAATTACTGTCTGTGTGGATGCAGAGTGAAACAATAGACCAGGTCCCTACAGTCAAATTTGCATGAGATCGGAGGAAAACAATCATGAACAAGGAAATAAATTATCCCACGATCTCAGATAAGCCTGATAGTGACAGTGCCAGGAGTGGCCGTGTCGTGAGGTGGGGAAGCCTCCTTTATAAAGAAAGTTCAAAGATGGTCTCTCCAAGGTCGCTAAGCATTTCAGCTGGGACATACAGGAGCCAGCAAGCATAGATGTGGCAGGAGTCTAGGGCAACTTGGGATGTGATCAGCATTTGAGAGGACTTGGAGGAGGGCTGGCTGCATATGAACAGAAGATGAGAAGGTGGGGCCCAGAGGAAGGTTCAGAGGCAGTGTGTGTTCAAGTCTGATACGGAATTTTAACAAGCTCTTTCTGGGGCTGTATGGATAATGAGTACCAGAGTGGAAGTTGGGTGACGAGCAGGAGGCTGTCATCCTTGTCAGGTTGGTCGCAGCACAGTGTGTTTAGCAGTAGTGTTGGTATGAATATGCTTGGTTCAGGGAGTG